CTGAGCTCCCCCCTCCCTGTGCTCCCCCCTCCCTGGGCCCTTCTTATCTGTCATTCCTGTTTGTCCAGCTTCCACTCCTTGTGGCTGCTGCCCCTCTGATGTCTCATGGCTGATGGCTCTAAGGGGAGCATCTCCCTAAAGTAGGTGGGTGCATCGTCCTGGGGTAGGTGTTCTGCATGTAGGTCTTTCTACTTCAACATTGTTTCCATTATATACCTGAGGAAACAAAGACCCAAAGAGAGGAACTGACTTATTCAAAGTTCCCTGGAGGGTGGGTGATCAAGCAAGACCTAACTTAAGAGCCACGGCCCCCCAAATCCACGTGGCCAAACTCCATGTTGTCCTGATGGGGAAACTGAGCCCCAGAGAGCAACCTGAGAGAGCTGTGACCCAGTCGGGATGAAAACCACATTTTTGGCCCTGGACCCAGTGCCCTCAACTGCCCCTTGCACTTGCCACCGAGGACCGTGCATGAGAAGGCCCACCCCCAGCCTCCCAGCTGTCAGGCCAGCCCAGCAAAGACCGAGCTCACAGAATGCTTCTGAGGTCGACTGATGCCTGGGGCTCTGGGAGGACAGGCTATGCTCTGTCTGCTGGGGCAGTGGGCAACTTGGGGAAGGGGCAGGAGGCAGACGTGGACACTGGCAGCCACAGGGATCCCTCTCCCTCCCAGCTGTTGCGGAGTCAGGGGCGAGGCAGAAGCAGAATCTGTGACTGAGTCAGGACTGCGTGTGCCGGCCCTGGCTGTGTGACCTTAACCATAGTCCGCACCACTCTGGGCCTCGGCTCCTCGCCTGTAATAATCACACAGACTTAACGCAGAGACTGCGGGTTCGTTTCCAGACCACTGTAATAAAGCAAATGTTGGAATGAAGTGAGTCACATGAATTTTTTGGTTTCCCAGTGCATATAAAAGTTGTCGTTACACAATAACCAAACCAAAAACCAAACCCACTGACATCGGGTCGATTCTGACTCATAGCAACCCCCATTGGGTTTATGAGGCGGTAATTACGGAAGTACATTGCTCAGTCTTGCTTCTGCAGAGTGGCTGGTGGGTTTGAACCACCAACCTTCTGGTTCATAGTCAGATGCCTTAGGCACTGTGCTACCAGAACTCCACCTCTTTATACTATGTTGTTGTTGTTGTTGTGTGCCGTCAAGTTGGACCCAACTCATAGCGACCCCTCCTTGAGTTTCCGAGGCAGTATTACTACGGAAGTAGATTGCCCCACCTTCCTTCCGAGGAGTGGCTGGTGGGTTTGAATCACCAAGCTTTGGGTTAGCAGTCAAGTGCTTTAGGCACTATGCTACCAGAGCTCCCCCAGTCTATTAAGTGTGCAATAGCATTATGAAAATGTTTGGAAGAAGTATTGTGAGAATTACCAAAATGTGACACAGAGACACGAAGTGGGCACACACTGTTGGAAAAAATGGCGCCGATAGACTTGCTCGACGCAGGATTGCCACAAATCTTCAATTTATGAAAAACGCACTATGTGCAAAGCACGATAAAGCACGGTGCAATAAAACGAGATACACCTGTGATGATGATGATGCTGACAGCCAACACTTAAGTGGCTCTTATTATGGGCCGGGCTCTGTTCTAGCCATGGCTCACACCATTTCATTGTCATATTAACCCTTCAAGGCAGGTACTATTATAACCCCCATTTTACACATGACACGGAGAGGTAAAATGGCTCACTCGAAGTCACAAACTTGGGAAGTGGCACAGCTGAGATTCAAACCCAGACTGTCTGACTTAAGTGCCAGCCTAGCTGGATAGGAGACAATTAAATTTAAGTAACCCCCTGGCACAGACTTTGCCCAGATTTGGAATTATATTAACATCATTATCATTGTTGTTAGTCGTTGTAATGCCTAAAGGGTTAAGGACATCTGGCAGTTTCTCTCCCTTGCTCACTAGTTTCAACCAGTCACTCCCTCTCCCCTGCCTTTGCTCAGATTTGGAGTGTTTATTATTAGCACTTTATTGTATTTTTTGCTGAAAGTTTACACAGCAAAACAGGTTCCCATTCAACAATTTCTACACATAATATTCAGTGACATTGATTACATTTTTTCCCCCTATTATTGCACAGAGTTTATTTACTTATTTTTATAAAAGTGGAATGATCATAACAACAATACCACTAACCTACAGTGGATTGATATGAGCAGTGCCCCATCCACATTTCCTGAGATCTTGGTATTTTTTTGTATTTTAATTTTTATTGTGATTTCACCTTTCAAAGGTGAAAGTTTACAGAGCAAATCAGTTTTCCATTCAAGAATTCACACACATTTTGTTTCATAGCATTGATTGCAATCCCCTCAATGTAACATCCTGACCTTTGTCC